GATGAAGGAAGAACAGTGATGAGTCAATTTACAGACCTGTAATGATAGCGGTAATGATCGCATTTCATTATGAACATCTAAGGGACTGAGTTCTTCTTTCGTCAGATCTAATAATTATGATTCGGTCTTTTGTTTTTTGTTTTAAATCTGATAAAGAAGCCGATGAAGATTAGATAAAATGGTTTACTGAAATTTCAATAAGAATGTTGAAACATTATCTTCTTGACTAGGACGGTCTGAGGCTTCTGTCTGATATATTGATTTTCTTATTTTTTGGGCTGAGAAATTTGGTTGTGAATGATGAGAACAAATATGAAAAAAACAGTTATCCCTGTCTGAGGATTTAATCCCGTTGATGATTCATTTGTAATCTGACACAAAAAATACAAATTTTGATTTTGTTGCTTGATGATTTTTTGGTTCGTAGAGATTTGAACGAATTGTCAAGTAGCACGAATCTTGTTGGTGTTCGAGATTCTTTTACCATGTTATCATTTTGGTCATTGACAGATGCAGTTGTTGAGTTTGTGTTCGTCATGTTAAAGGCATGAAAAGGAGAAGATGTGCAATATTTCCTGAACATTTGTCTTTCTACAAACAATGTGTGAAGATCATAGCCAGTGGTTTTTTGATAATAAGATACAAACTTGGTACAACAAATTAGATGTGTAACACGCTTATTAATTCATGTTATTGCGTTTTGAAATTTATAAATTAGATGTGTAACACATTACCATCGTCCATCGGTATCTCTTGAAATAAATGGGTAACTATCTATATTTTGCCAAAATAGCTCGCGAAATCTACTGTTACAAAATTGAATATATATTGGAAAGTGAACAATCGAACGTGAATGCACCGCTGCAATGTTGAAACGCGTATTTAGCAATAGTATTTTTTTATACATATGACTTCATACGTGTTCGTATTTATTTAGACCATGTTTTGCTTGTAAGATAACGGGCTATTGAATAATATCTGCAATTGTATTCAACCCCGTATCCAAAACTGCCATGGTTCACTTTGATTTCTATATGGTAGTCAATAATCCATAGTAATATTTAATGATGTAGTTTGAAAGTGAAACGCAATTCCAGGAGCCACGATTAATCAGGTAGGCAAGAGTAAGATTAATTAGTCTTCATACCAATAAAAAGATTGATTAGTCTCTTTACTCGTCGCCAATACATTATGTAATTTGCATGATTGTCATTACAATATAGACATATTGAAGTTTGAAAAAAAAAATTGTTTTGACGTTGAATCTGTTTTGATTTGTAGACAAAAAAAATAAAGAAGAAGCTGTTTGTTTTATGGGCCTTTAATGGGCTGAAATTATTTGAGTTTAAACCCATTGGACAATCTGAAGCCTCCTAACTTGGAGATAAAGTAAAAACCCTCGTTCCAGATTTTTCTTTCTGGTCCTATCGAAACTTCTTTCTCTCCCAATTGAGCGACCAAAGTTGCAGAGAGCACACACACTTTTCACAGTTCCCGTAGAGAGATGGCGAGCACTGAGCCAGAGCACGAGAATCGCGAAGAGGCAGCCGAAGTCCACGAAGATGAAGACACCGGAGCGCAAGTTGCACCGATCGTCAGGCTTGAGGAAGTTGCCGTCACTACCGGCGAGGAAGATGAAGACGCCGTCCTCGATCTGTATGTACTCATTCGCTTTACTCTGTTTATTCCGATAACGCTTCCTTCTCTTTAGGTTAGGTTGGTTTCGGATTTTTGTTTGATCTGATCGAAATGTCTTCTGATGTTGATCCGTTAGGAAATCGAAGCTGTATCGATTCGATAAAGATGGGCAACAATGGAAGGAGAGAGGAGCTGGAACTGTTAAGCTATTGAAGCACAAGAAGACTGGCAAGGTTCGACTTGTCATGAGACAATCTAAAACCCTAAAGATCTGCGCCAATCACCTCAGTATGTGCGCCATTTCTGATTTTTTTCTGCAATGATTTGGTGCTAAAATTATGTGTCTCTTGTTGAGTTTTATGTGTTTCTGTATGCAGTTTTGTCTGGGATGAGTGTTCAGGAACATAGTGGGAATGAAAAGTCATGTTTATGGCACGCTACTGATTTTTCCGATGGAGAGTTGAAGGATGAGCTTTTCTGCATTAGATTTGCATCAATTGAAAGTAAGTGTTCTTTCTCATTCACTGCATGCTTGTATCCTGTAGCAGTGCCAGTAATGTGGCAACATTTAGTATTTGGAGATTTAATATGTTCCCAAGTCGTAAGTTGTGGTAGTTGAATCAGAGAAGGTGGTTGTGAAAGTACCCTTTATAAGACTCTCTAGTTGTGATGATTGATGTCTCTGTTAGCAGCCGTGAATTGTGATTCCGAAAGTCCATATAGAGAGGTCGAGACAGAAACGAAAACTGTACTGCTTTTGTAGTTGCAGTGAATGGAATGTTGCCTCTTGTTATAATTTTAAGGAGACATATTGTTGTCTAGATGACTAGTGAAGGTGTAAACTCTTGATTGATCTTATGAGTTAACTTGAAGCCATTGTTCAAGACTCAGTTGGTGTCTGAGATTGTGAGTCTTATCACTAAGCATTTAAACAAAATGGTTACCGTGATTTGTAAGATGTTTTATAACTACCATAATTGTATTTATGTTGACTTGATCTGTAAGAGTAAGAAGAATATCCTTTGGTAATGTGCTCTGCATTTTCTCTTTGGCTCTAGTGGATAACTGATAGTCTTTAACATCGACAGATTGCAAGACATTCATGGAGAAGTTCAATGAAATCGCTGAAAGCCAAAAAGCAGGGAAAGAGAGCACAGAGGGCGACGAGGCTGCTGGTTTACTTGAGAATCTTTCAGTTGAAGATAAGAAAAGTGAGGAGAAAACCAAGGAAGAAGAAAGGGAAAGCCCTGCAAAGGAAGAGAAAGACACAAAGGAGAAAGAAGCTGAAGAGAAGAAAACAGCGGTGAGCACTTGATCCAATTAAACTGGTCAAGAGTTTTGTTTTTGCTTTTATTATATGATATATATACTTGGCACTGAACATGATGGTTGCTTCCAAAGAAGTCAATTACTTTGTCATCTCTCCATGTTTTGAGTCTTTAATATTTTTTTTTTTTATGTTGTTGTAAGTGTTTGACTTGTGTGGTCTCTTTACTATGTTATTTTGGGTTAAGATACTTCGTATTTTTCATCAAACTATTATAGTAGCTTTCAACTATGTTTCAGACCGAATCGATTAATGTTATCTGATAATCCGGTTATACGTTGTAACATTTATTGTAAACCTTTAAAAATGATTGTACATTACCAACACCATAAAAGTGTATAAATCCATTCGTATTGACATCTTTGGTGGAAGCAAAGAAAGTGGTTTGTGTTTGTTAAATTGTTACTTACAGCAAAGAAAATGGTAAGGAGGAGATGATACTATGGTGCTTTTTAAAAGTAAAAACAAGTTAGTTAATTTGGGCTCAACTGTTTCATTTAGGACCCAACAGATTGTGTGGAACCTAAACCCCAAATGCGAACGGCTCCACCACAATAACACCATGTTTTAAGCCTTTCTCTATCTCTCGCCTCACCATTTAATTTCTCCTGACCACCACACCTTAATATGCCACTTTTGAGCTGTTTTTCAGAATCGAAATCAAGATTCATTTTTGGAATTCTTGGTATGTAAAACAATCTCATTATTAAAATCACAATGGAAGACCATGTATTTTTATCGTACTCAAGGCAAAGCCAAAGTAACAAGATCGAGTGATGGATTGTTTAGCAAATAAAGAAAAGATCGAGTGATGGTTGGGATTGTGAAGATGATTGTCGTTTTATTATCGGGTCAGTGATGGGCCTGCGATTACAAATGGGCTTCGATTATATTATTGTGGCCCAAAACCCAAACCAGACTGGTCAAACTTGTTTGCTACAAGTTTATAAGTCAACATCGTCTTCTTCTTT